TATTCCGTAGCGAAGGGCTGGAACCACACCATCTCATACACCACTTTCGCATTTGTAACCTTTTCCCTGAAGTAAGTAGGAATGCTCAAAAGGGTATGAACCTTCTAATGATGAGCAGCACCAAAAAGAGGAACTGAACATATTGTCTGCGATCCAACCACCATGCACATCACTACCGGTTTAATTCCGCTACTTGCCTCTGCGGTGGGCATCACTGCAGCTCCAACAACCCTGCATTCTGTCGCACGAGCCGTACCAGATATCAATGAAGTCGCCCGCAACCCGGCACCTATCGATGATAGAGTCAATTGGGATGATCACGGCAAACCGACACTTGGCGATATCAGTCACCTCAGTCAGGATGATATCAAGAAGCTTAAAGAACTCATAAAACATCTCCTTGGCGGCAGAGCGGTTGCTGATGCTGACAGCATTATCGTGGAGAGAAGCGTCCCTGATTTCCATCACCCAGCGAAGAACCCTGTGGAGATTCGTCCGTAAGCATCTTGAGTTGAAGTACGAGCTCATGCTTTGTGGGATCCCGATCCAAGCAACATGTCAAGTTCCCAAGCTTGACTAAACTCGACGCATCTCACATTTGTTACGTACATGGAAGAGATGGAATTCTTCAGTCTCAAGCATGAGTCTCGAAGAGCGATGTAGCAGCATAACAGAATACGAACATCCATCACTTCACCGCTGCTTACGTGGGTTTTATCATTCGGCCTTGACCTTTGAACATCCGCCTTGGCGGCTGCCACAAACTTCTTTGTGCAACAATCTGTGAACAGCCGCCATATCTGACAGATAGCGCCACCGTTGCGGCGGCCACCCGAATGCGATTTCGCCTATTGATGAGACACCACACAAGGTTATGCTGTCAAATGTTCCACTGCCGGATTGCGCTACCACTTTTCAATCACGCGGTTACAAACAGACGCGGTACTGCGCCGAGTCCGATGTGTCGCAAGGTTCCACTAAGGTTAGCAGACCTTGGAGCAGGCTAGCAAGCGATTGCAGATTGACGAGCCTCCTACAAGCTGTCAAGCTAATATACCGGCTTCTCTGATGCAGCTTACTATTCTAGCGCCCGACGTGTACCTTGAACTAACTTGCCAGCGTCTGTTAGCCTCACCAGACCTAGGCCGTGTAACAAAACGCCTGCCTTCACAAGGAGGCAGGTTCAGCCGAGTATACACAGATATCTAGTCATCATTGCGTACTGGACGCTTTATTTTGTTACACTTGTACAACGCTGTCCGACCGCTTGTCAGCCTAGTAAATCTTTGCCCAGCCAGCTCCCAATCTAATTGGCCTCTCTCGTTTGCAAGTATGTGTCGCCTTCAAGGTGAAGAGCGGATAACGACAGTGTGTGCTGTACTGGTTTTGAGTGGACCCCAAACGTAGGCTACCTGGCGGTATCTGAAACTATCCCTCTATCAGATGGATAGGCGCATTGGGAACCTTGTTATCCATACTTACCAGCCGTTTAATTGCATGAGTACCAGTACTGACTGGCGCCCTTGCCCACCGCACATTCTGGTGTGTGTGTGTGTGTGTGTGTGTGTGTGTGTGTGTGTGTGTGTGTGTGTGTGTGTGTGTGTGTGTGTCGAGACTGTTTGTTCTTGCTGGCTGTCACTACCCTAAAGTTTTCTTTTGGCGATTTGCGCTGCTCTTTTTGGTGCCCGATCTGATTACAACAAATACGATGCGATGATGGCGCCATCTCTCTTTGTTTCTTTTCATCACCCTGTCCCGCGCCAACCCGGAAGCAATGCAGATGTCGGTCCGTTCGTCAATGTGGTTATTTGGATTCTCTTGATCACTTCCGCTTTGGCGGTCTTGACTAGGCTTATCACGAAGCGTGCACTCAGGAGGAGCCTTGATTTTGACGATGCGTTCGTTCTGCTTGCTTTGGTACGTCATAATGGGTGCAATTGCTCAAGTCTATGGATGTTTTCTTGCTAATTGATCTTGAGTAGCTCGCGAGTATAGGCTCTGGTGCATCGGTCAGCGTGCAGATCGACAGTGGCCTTGGACGAGATATTCATGTGTTGACTGAGCGTCAGATTGTGGTGTATCAGCAAGTAAGCATCTGATTCAGCCTTCTTGAGGCGACGTGTTCATTGATCGCGTTGCAGGCGGAATATGCGAACAAGCTGCTTTACATCGCAACATTATGTTTCGCGAAACTATCCATCATCTCGCTATTAATGATTCTGACTGAGTCGAAACTGCATCGGAATCTAGGCTTGGGTTTGACTGGATTCATCGCATTGTGGAGCGCGCTTTCCGAGGTCGTGTCGGCTTTCCAATGTGGCGCTATAGAGCCGTGGCGCTTTCTTGTTAGGGGAGAAGATTGCTTTGATCTGGTATGTCGCGAAAGTAAGCTGGGATATCTGAGGCTGTTACTGATAATGTATCCAGGCTGCCTTCTGGCAGACGGTGGGTGTCGTCAACATAGTGACAGATTTGGCCTTAATACTGTTCCCAGTACACGTCATCATGACGCTACAGATGAGCACGAGTAAGAAGATCACTATCCTAACATTCTTTGGAGCGCGGTCACTGTAAGACGCAAAAAATTCTGCCATGATCTTCCCCTCCTGACATGTCGCAGAGATATCGTAGCCTCCGCAGTCCAGATGGCTTACCTTCGTGGATTCACATCACCCAACCCGACTAAGGATCTTTGGAAATGGATACTTTTCACACAGATCATCGAGTGCATCACCATTCTCACATCATGTGTGCCTTACCTTCGTCCGCTCCTAGAATCTGTACCATCGGGCCTCTATGGGAGTGACGAGCTCCGACGTCGGGGTACATCCTCAGAACATGGCTATTCGCACAGTAAAAGCTTCTCGTATCAACTCTCAAGCACTACTTCAAAGGTGGGTGCTGGAATAAGACATAGTCATAAGAGTTACACGGAAAGCAACAGAATCAGACGATTCTTACCAATGCTTTCACAAGAGAAGACGACAAACGCCAATTCTGCATCCGGTGTTCCTGGAGGTCCTCATCGTGCTGATGGGGAGATGGACGTTGAAATAACTGCTGTACATCACAAGCGTCATCAGAAGCGGTGGGATGACAAGAGGTGGGAGACAGCCAGTACTGCAAGTCATTCCAAGATCTTAAAGACTACGGTTGTTAGCGCGCAATGGGAGGAAGCGGAGGTGAGGAGTTGTGATGCTTCCAGCGATGAGATCGTGATCATGCATTGAAGCGGATTCGCTAGTTAACCTTTTGCGATATCACCTTCGCCGACTAATGATACCTTGCGACAACCAAATGAGCTATATTTCTTTATGATCTCCGACGTACGGTTTCCCAAAATAACATCTTTGGGGACTTCTCTCGATCAAAAGCACAATCGCACCATTAAACGTTGCCTCATCGTGCTTGAAATGTTTTCCAGTGAGGTGGTATCACAGCCATGCAAGCAATGGGGACTTTCCACTGTGCCATGACCCATGATCCAGGGACATCTTTGAGTCATTCAGCATTATGGGGTGATATCGACCGCCTTGGCTCTCAAGAGACTCTAGTTAAGTGCTTGCCAGTCGTATTCCATTACACTCATACGTCGCACAAGCACGAGAGATCAGGTATAGCAATTGACCAGGTCAACGCCCGATCTCGGATCTCTAATCATACTTGAGTCCGCGCTTGTTCCAGTCAACAAGAGGCCTTGTGCTTCCTTGGGCTTTCGTACTCCGTAGTATGCCGCAAGAGGAGTGTTTCACGCGTGCTGCACCAAGATGTAATGTGGCATGCCAGTACCTGCACATGCTGGCATCCAAGAGTAGACAGAATCATGCAACAAGTATGGTATACACCTACGCAGGCTTCCGACAGCAGTGCAGCGTCTTGACAGACATGCCAGCCAAATCTCAGCTCGCACATCATCCGGTACAAAGCGGCGCATCCCTTCCCAGGTACCTCGCGTGTCGCTTGAGCCGTCGGGTAAGATATCGAGATACGTCATGATAGCCGTTGAAACCACGCGGATGTATTGAGAGGCGGCTTTCCACGTGGGTCGACGATGACTAACCAGCTTCGTGGAACATAAAGTGATCCACTCTCCTTTTATCCTCCAACAACGACAACCCTCTTTGGCCATTTCCGTACCACAACAGATCTGCAGGAAGGCCTCGACTTTCGATCTTTACGGTATGACAGCCGTTATTGTTGCCGCTTGCTACCTGCTTAACCCTTGGTCCACATGTAACTGGATAGCTATGGCAGCCCATCGTCGCACGTTGAGAGACAAGTGCTGACGATGCTAGGTGCCTCTTATTGACTCCTTTTTGTCTTGCAATCGAATGCTCTACCAACCCTCTTGCTAGTTGCAGAAGCTGGAGACGCCGGTTTCCTAGGCATATGCACAGTATGATGACCGGGTGCAGATATGCATTGATCATTCAAGCATAGCCCATGCTGCTCGAAAAATACGCGAAGATGACTGGGAAAATCTTCGTTTGCCTCTACCACCTAAAAGATGTATGAATGAAGGATCCACAACTATGCATGCCGCCGCTTTTTGCAGCTTCGGCAGCCCGATTGTGCAACTTGGGCGCCAATCAACGCCTATTTACTGCGGACCAGTCACTCAGACTATGACTGCAGTACGATACGTCGGATTGCGAGTTGCCGCCGTCACTGCAGAGAGCCTCCAACTGCCTTTGCGGTGCGAATCACTGGCTTAGTGTCTAACTTCCATACGCTCGATTGCATTGCCGGACGGCCGCCTCCCGGTCCTCGCCTCTGCCGTCTTCTCAGGTGCACATGGTTCACGTTACATTTGGAAGGGGTATATATCGAGATTGACTTGCATAGAATATGCCCTGTATCACGACACATCTCCCGGTTATCTTCTTCTCTTTCCTTTCCTGGTCTATTTGCTTGCTGGAGACTTGTTGCTGCGAACTGCCTTTGTTCCTCCTTGTTGCTAAACACGTTTCGAATTAAAAAAAACTAGAACAAACGTTATCATGAAGAAGCATATTGATCTGCAGACGTTCGACCATGAGATTCTGCGGCAAAGGGGAAGAGGCTCCATATCAGAAGGGAAAGGCCCTAAATTCGATCGCGACAAGTATGAGTTGGCGAGGGTGGGAAAGGAGCAAGTGCTGAAGGTATGAACTGCTCTAGAAATACGTACCTCCCGGATCTGATAACATCAGCGCCGCTTCGGACTGGTGTCAATGACTGGACTCTCGTGTGGATTGATGTGTACTTGGGAGACCTTGCTTGTGTAAGTTTGCGTGACTGTCACGAAAACTTCTGCTGATATCACAGCAGCATCTTCTCTATAGGCTTCGTGAAGTAAGTGCTCAATGTTTTCTATATTTCCAACAGCGATTGACGACATCACAGTGGCGGCCCTGCTGGTCTCATCTACGGTTTCATACTTATATGGCTGGGTAACTTCTCCGTCTTCGTCTGTATCGGCGAGCTTGCCAGTGCAGTTCCAACTGCTGGTGGACAATACCATTGGGTTTCCTTGTTGGCGCCACGGTCGAACAAGAAGTTTTTCAGCTATCTGACTGGTATGTGCAGTATTCAAGACAGTATTAGTCTGTTCTGATTCTTTTTAGGCTGGCTCACTGTAGTTGGTTGGATAGCAGCTCTTACTTCCGTTTGTTACTTCGTTGCCGACCTGATTCTCCAACTGGTCAGTCTGAATGATCTTGACAGAACCTATACTCGAGAAGGATGGCACGGCACTCTTCTCCTTTGGGCCATACTACTGTTATGTGTCTTCATCAATGTCTTCATAAGTGGAGCGCTTCCTACCATCGAAGTCGTTGTATTGATCGTCCACGTTCTTGGCTTCTTCGGCATTCTAGTGCCACTGGTATATCTGACCCCCATCCACAACTCTGCCAAGCAGATTTTTACGACATTTCACAACGAAGGTGCTTGGAACACACAAACTCTAGCCTTCTTTGTCGGGCTTCAAGGTAATGCTTTAGCATTTGTTGGAACGGATTCAGTTGTTCACGTAAGCCAAATAGCCTCCAATGTCACATCTCACTAACGATCATAGATGTCTGAAGAGGTCAAGAACGCCAGTACCGACGTCCCTCGCTCGATGCTTCTCAGTCTTGTCATAAACGGTACATTAGCACTAGGCATGCTTTTCGCTGTTCTCTTCAACGCACACGATATCCCAGCGTTGCTTGGCGATCAAAATGCCGCGACCGCGCCCTTCCTCCGCATCTTCAAAGACGCTGTCGGATCCGAGGCTGGTGCTACTGTCATGGTTGCCATCATCGTTCTTCTCGAATTTTGTAGCGCAATGGGATGTTTAGCCGCTGCATCTCGTATGACTTGGTCTTTTGCTCGAGACCGTGGTCTTCCTTTCTCGCGTGCTCTCAGTGTGGTGAGCGTCTGCACCGACAGGCTTTCAAAGAGTGTGTAGTTAACCAATAATAGATTGACAAGCGCAGCACAATTCCCATAGTCTCCATCCTAGTCGTCACGGTATCAGCCGCCCTCCTCGCTCTGATCAATATCGGCAATAGCGCTGCTTTTAACGGGACGATATCCCTCGTCTTGGAAGGTTTCTACCTCTCCTACCTTCTCGCAATCGGTCTTCTCCTCTGGCGCCGGCTCCGTGGGGACCTCGAGAATCCTGATTCTTCGCTTACCATTTTCAATGAAACTCAAATCAACGAAGCTTACGATGGCAGCCTGACCTGGGGTCCTTGGCGTCTAGCAGGGGCGTGGGGTGTGGCCAACAACGTCGTCGCCATTTGCTATCTCACCTTGATCATCTTCTTCAGTTTCTGGCCAAGCGAGGTCAGTCCCGATCTTGTGCATATGAACTGGGCAGGTGTCGTGACCGGGTCGGTTGCCTTGTTCAGTGTGGCGTACTATCTTCTCTTCGCAAAGAAGTCGTACATTGGACCAATTGTGGAAGTGAGTCCACATGCCTTGTAATCGGAGTTGGACCGATGGCTACCAGCCTCTCCGGGTTTGTTTCATCTACGCGATGAGGGATGTTTAGAGAAAAGCTCCTTTCCTGACTGATGGTTGGTATTACTGTCATGTATGTTGCGTGAATCAACCAAGTGTATAAGGTTGGTACGTTGGCTTTTCGAAAGAAAAAAAGGCAGTATAGACTCAGCAAACTATTCGTTCATTATGGTTCACTGATATCACGAGTCTACAGACCTCTGAAACAGGCATATATCATAGACATGTTTTGTAGTCGTAATAATTCATTATCATACATAACTCATAACTTGCCCATGAATCCTAAACATGATGACATTTGCCTGTATATCCGCGCCTTGAAACAAAAAATGATACTCATGAACAATAGAGATTGAGAATAGAAGAAAAAATCCCAGATAGCCGGCCGTGACTCGTTAAGAGACGTGAGAAAGAAGCTTTCTTGTGATAGCCCAGTACCACCCTTTGCCGCATTCTAGTTATAGCGATCCAGAGATACGGACGCTTATTTTGGTTCAAAAATCCGAATCGATTGATCAAGACAGAGCTCCCATAGCCAGCGCCACGATCTTGGGGTTTGGGCGATCTTTCCGTACTAGTACTGTAACCACCGAATATCAACGAGTCGTTCTAATGGGCCGAGCGAACAAGGGCTAACCTACCCTTTCGATCTCTGTCAACGCGCATAACCTCCTTGCGGGGGGTACGCTCGACGAATTCATACTCGCGGTCGCCTTCGCGCTCGTACTTGAGCATGCGACGTTCCTCCTCCAGGAAACGGATCTCGTCACGGATTTCGCGCTCAGAACGGCGATCGTCTCGGCGGACGAGCTGGCGGCCTTCTGGGAGGAAAGAAGTCGCTGGTCCGTGGATAGCGGCTGAGCGGTCGATTTCGACGTAGCGCTCGTGTTCGTGGATGGATGGGGAAGGTGCACGCTCTGATGGCGCATAGACAGTTGGCGCGTGGTGAGACGGTGGAGGTTGGGCATAAATAACCTGAGGTGGAGGTGGCTGAGCGTATACCACTTGTGGAGGTGGGGGTGGTGCGTGTACTACAGATGGCGGTGGAGGAGGGTAGTATTCTTCAGGGGGTGGAGGCGGAGGGGCGACTGAAGCTGGTGGAGCTACGGAAGCTGGCGGCGGTGGGGCTTCATCGGCCTTCTCCTCATATACGTAGGTGATTTTCTCTGCAGATGGTTAGAAAAGATCGTTCAGAGATCATGGGATACGTACCCTCTTTGTAGCTTTCGCTGATCTTGATCACCTCATCGATATGCTCCTTTTCGAGTGCTCGGGTAACAATGATGAAGTCGTCCTAATATGATCAGTGACATTCTAGTAGTGTGAATGAGTGACATACCTCTTCTTCGAATGGGTAGCCCAAGTCGATAACAGCTTGCTTCTTGACCAAGCGCTTGGGAAGCCTCGTCTTGCCCTTCTTGCCCCAGGTCGCACGGGAAGGCTGGATTTCTTCAAAGCTGGAGATGGAAGAGCTGCGTGTCGATTTGGCTGCTACACTCTTGCTCCTCCGGACCCTGCTCTTCTCACGGTGAACTTCGACCTCGCGGTAGTCTTCTCGCTCCCGGCCTCTTGCGCTGCGGTCGTCGTATCGAATTTCCTCGAAGTCATCTTCCTCGTGGAAACGACGAGGGGGTGATCGTCGACGCTCGCGAATTGGAAGTGGGATGGGAACATTGGCTGGTGGTCGGTACTCGTGGTCTTCGTACCTCTCGTATCTCTCTACATCGCCGTACCGTGGCATGGGCTTACGGTCAAAAGTGTCGAGAGACGACTGTCGTCGGATATACTGCGGCCGTGCTGGGCGAGGCGGACGTGGGAGCGGCCCCCGACGCTCATTGATGTCAATATCGATGTTGATGTCTTTGTCGATGACGGACCTGCGGCGGTACGGAGCAAGGGCCTGGTTGGCAACTTCGGACGGGGTAGGCTCATGGAACAACTCGGAGGGGGCGCGGCGACGGGGGCGGTCGAAGCGTTCATCTTCGTGGAAACGTTCTCTCTCCATGACGGCAGGGCCTCTGCGTGCGCGGTCTTCATGGAAGTCAATATCGCGATGGCCGCCGGGAAAGCGATCATGCTCTTGGAAGCGGTAATGGTCGTACTCATCGCGACCACGGGCACTGCCGCTAGCGACGCTCCCACCACCGCCGCCGCCTCCTCCTCTTCTCATGCGCTCAAACTTTTCGCGGTCCCATCGCTCACCGCCGCCACGGGGCGGCTCTTCGAAGCGGTCGAGGTTGCCCGTTGAGGAGCGGTACACGGACATGACTGAGGGGTCGAGTGCGGCTTGCCAGTGGTTGTGTGATGATGTATGAGGTATGGTGCGGGGCTGCCGGTTAGGTGTCGGAAGATGTCACAAGAGAACAAGGCATGTACTAGGAGAGCCAGCAACAGTAATGCGACAGACTGACGGTGGCGCAACAAGCGGATCAACGAGAATATAAGTGTCTTGGATCTAAGTCTCGCCGGAGATTTGGTGGTGTGTGGGTGCGACCAACTTGATATGCAGGATTCGCGACGGGCTTCGTCATCGGCGCTCGCGCATGCTGCACTCCCTGCATCTGGCCTGGGCGCTAACTTATGCCATGACTGGAGCGACGCACCCCTGATATGCCTTGGTTTCTCATTTGCTGCGGAGTTCCCCATGGTTCAGTTTCATGTGAATCCTTGTGGATTCGGGCTCATGTTGGGCATGTCCCACTGTCATGTGAGGTCTCTACATCTGTTCAGTATCGCCGGCAGAGACAAAATACTTGGTTTTGTCACCCAACGTCGTTTGGGTACACCAGGCTATCCTTACCGTCAGTGTCTGTCACTGACCGCATTCGAGGGGATGCATGTCCGCAAAACGAAGCCTTGGTTACCGATGACGTCAGTCCCGGAGCCTGGAAACGGATCGCGGCGCAGCTATCCGCTTAGGTGCTGCCTTAGCCACCATGTAACTGTGCTACAATACTCCAGCCCGTGTCTGAACGCATGGACAAGCAACAGACATGGATGGAATTTTCCATGGAACTCTGCCATGTTGGACTGTCAAAGCTGCCACGTTCCGAGGCCACGAGCGAGTGGTAACGATACCCCGCAAAGCGACATGTCCACCGGATTGATGGATCTGCTCAACCAGGCAAAAGCAATTTTCAAGGCATCATTTCTGGTGTCGTAATTTGGCCGTATCTTTCGTTACCTCTTTTGGAGAGGAGTCGGTAGTCTACACAGAATTTGTACACTTGTTCTACAATCATCCAGCCCCCACCCAGCGCATCATGTCGTCTATTTGGCCCCAACAGCTTCTTGTATTTTCTTTGTGATATACTCCAAGTCAAACGGTCGTCCTTTGACGCCTGCCATGACTTTGCCCATGACGGCGCCAACATTCCTCTTGCCCTGCTCCAATCCTTCGACTGCGCTATTCACCAACGCGTCAATCTCGCTCTCCTCTACTGTTGGAATTTCTTTTGCATATCCGTTCAAGACATCTAGCTGCGCCTGCTCCTTCTCTACCAGATCCTCCCTCTTCGCATTCCGGAACTCTTCAATCGAGGCCGAAGAGGACTTGATTTGCTTCTGGATGAGGGAATAGAGGGCACCATCAGTAGTGATTGGCTTGGCGGTCTTTGAGGCGTTTATAATTTCGGCTTGCAGGGCACGGATTGTGTTTAGAGCAGGCTTGTTCTTTGCACGCATGGCCGTCTTGAGGTCGGACTGCAAGCGGGGGAGAACAATATTTTCAGGCGTAGAAGTGGATGAGTAGCGGAGACACATGGATCGGGGAGCCGCAAGGAGCTGCCTTGGGAGCATTGTGGTGCGAAATAATGACATGGTGAATGTTGCAGCTGGAAGGAGCAACCACGGACAGCGTATGCGACGAGTTAGAATACGAAATCGATCCGAGGCGGAGAGATTGAGTTGGGGCGCGTGAAACGTCGACAGTCAAACACTCCAAGCACAAAAGTTTGGACTACCCTAACGCGCTCTGACGCGAATAGCTAGCATCCCTGCGCGCCAAGCATCTCTTTTGTTGTGGACCGCCGTCACTTTTGCACCTTGTGCCTGAGCCTCAGCGTCGCAATTGCGCCAGAGCACTTTTTTTGACCTCCTTCTCTGCGCGCCTTTCTTGCCTCGACACCACCTTAGCCTCCGCGCGCAGCTCATGTACACGCCATCTCCCCGGCGCGTTCCCCCAACCTCCATCTGAAGCTCGCTGTCACCCGGGCTACGACCAGCGCAACACGTCAACCCCATACACAATCCATCATGGCCTTCCAGATGGCGCCTGCGACTCCGCAACGCCCCACGCCTGGGGCGTTTGTCAACACACCTGCGCCCAACCGGCCTGGCTTCGCTCGAACAGGCTCCATGTCGCAACCACCACCGCAGCAACAGCAAGCGCTGCCTGCACCGCCAACAGAGAGCCCGATCGATCGCGCATCGCGGACTATCAATAGCATGCTGGATCGAGACAACCGGTTTCCCGCTCTAGAGGCGTACATCGGACGTGAGTAGTCACGCAACAGTTGTACAAGCTTGCTGAAGTGCTAACAAAGCCGCACAGAGGGCATCTCGGGCGAGTATGAACTGCCCAACAGCCCGGCGTGGGCGCCGTTCCAGAAACTGCGCTCCTACAAACTTCCAGAGGCCGTCTTTGAGCAGGTAGACCACACGCAGATGTCGACGAGCATGGGCCTGTTCGCTGAGATCAACCACGCCTGGGTTGTCGTGGACAACCAGGTCTACCTCTGGGACTACACACATCCAAACCCTGAACTCGTTGGATTTGAAGAGCAACCCAGCAACATCACATGTGTCAAGCTCGTCAAGCCGCGGCCTGGCGTCTTTGTTGGCACTATCGAATACCTACTCGTCGTCGCGACCGTTTCAGACATCTTCCTTATCGCTGTCGAATGTCAGCGAGGTCCCGAAGGCGTTCACGGCATCACAATGTACCGGACTGGACTATCGACTTC